AGAGAGAGAGAGAGAGAGAGAGAGAGAGAGAGAGAGAGATGGAGCAGATAGCAGAGAGAGAGAAAGGAAACGTACACAAATACACAGTGAGAATGGTAACAGAGGTCAGTAAGCCATGAATTCCTGACAGATAGAGAGATTGAAGGAGGTGAAGGAGGGGAGGAGTGGCCCTGGGTGGGTGAGCGTCGAGTTGTACAGAAAAGAAGGGGAGGAAAAGCGCCCCCTTGAGGCACAAGCATCAGCCCTGCAGCTTCATCCAAACCAAAGAGTGCGCTTTCTCAGATAGGCAAAGCAAATATTCCTATGTTTAGAGTTGATTCACCTGCACTACCACAAATAGGGCCGATATATGATCCACCACAAAAATCATAGGAACATTAGAGGGGAAAATAACATTTTAATGACCGCTGGACAAGTTTCTTCCAACTGTGTCATCCTGAAGTTTTCTCCTCAAATTTGGAAGACCCACAGGAAATAGGTCAGAGTTGCTTTATGTGACTAAAACATCCAAAAATGACTGAACCAAAATAGTAACCTATGTTATTTAGGAGTGGGCGATATACGGGTTGAAATTAGTCATAAATACCATAATTTTGGCATAAATTTGCAAGGAAGAAGGTGAAGCACGAACAGTTGTCCCGTATTTTGAAATCAAAGCAAATGCTTACCATTTTAAAATAAGAAGAGAGAAATCTAATCTATTTACATTAAAAAGACTTTTTAAAATTATAATTTTGTCCACAATGTTTAGATTTTATAATACAAATAATTTAAGATTTTTTAAATTAAATTTAAGATGTAATATTTTTATTTTTAGAAATGCATTTCATTGTAATGACAACAAATGTTTTTAATTTCAATGGTTAAAGGGGTCATATGACGCGATTTCAAATTTTCCTTTCTCTTTGAAGTGTTACAAGCTCTTGGTGCATAAAGAAGATCTGTAAAGTTGCAAAGACTAAAGTCTCAAATCCAAAGAGATATTCTTTATAAAAGTTAAGAGTCAACCACACCTACCTAAAACGGCTCGTTCTAACACGCCCCCACATGTCTACGGAAGATTTGCATAACGCCGCCCAAATGTTCATGCAAAGAAAGAAGGCGTAACTTTTATTCTCGCTGTTGCCGCCGCTGCCATGTTGTGGAGTCGCTGTGTGTTTCGTTGTGAAAGCGAAACTACTAAGTTTGGC